CTGCAGGCTTCTGCGGGGCCAGCCCACTCTCCAGGCGGCACCCATGCCCACCTCTGTGCGCCTCAGAGCTTGGTGCCCCTAAAACCTACAGGGTTGCAACTCAGAGGGGAGGAGAGGGTTGGGAAGCAAAGCCAGCAGGAGAACAAAGGGCGCTTTGCCTGAGAGGGAGGCACCTTCAGCCTCCGGGGCCTGGGGAAGTGACTCACTGGGCCCGGGGATGGACCCACCCATGGGGGCTCCGTGGGCCCACAATAGACTCACAGGATAGGGAAGGGGCTGTCAGCCTCCGGCCTCCCGCGGGCTCCTCCCAGCCCACCCCCGTGGGATCTGGTCTGAGTCCAGCCCGGGGCCCTTGGGGATAGGCCCTTTTCTTGTTAGGCTCTGCCAGTTGGGGCCGCCACCGCTGCTGCTGCCACCTGGGGCTGTGGGCGTGGCCCCTTCCACCAGCCCTCCCTCTCCTTGGCCATGGAGGGACCCGGGCTCCCCGATTCTCGGCAGAGCCACACTACTCCTCTGCCAGAACGAGGCCATCGGTGCCACCCGAAGGTGGCGTCAGGCTCTGTCCCGAGGCTCCGCGGATGCCTGTGATGGGGACTCGAAGAGAGCCCTCGCTGCGCGCCCCGGCTTCCCGGGCAGTTGCACAACCTCCCCCAATTATGCTCCGTGCAGTGTGTGGCAACCGGGCGAGAATTCCAGGACCTTGTACCTACTCGTACCAATCTGCCTTCCCGCTGTTTGGCTGCAGGGCCAGGCGTGGCTCTGGGCCGGGGGAAATGGGGGTGTGTCCGCGTCCAGGAGGGCGTGGCCCGCGTCAGCCCCGGGAGCAGCAGCCCGGCCCTACCGGTGCAATCGGCTCGCCCCAAACCGCAGCTTCCTCGGGGGCCCTGGACTGGGTCCAGGACACAGAAAAGGAAGCTCTGGTGACATCCTACACACGGGCTTCGAGCAGCAGGCTTGGCCCAGCTACGGCTGGCAGCGAACCTCGGGCCCTGTCTAGCCAGGGATGCGCGGCCTGGGTTCTCCTGCGGGCAGGGCGGGCATCCTCCCGGGCCCCAGCGAGGCTTCGGCGTCCCTGCGCTTCCCAGGCTCTGTCCCAGCTCTTTAAGACTTTGGCCTGGTTTGTAATTTCTGTGTTAAGAAGGATCCTAGGAGCATGCCCTGATGACCTAGCTCTTATTCCAGGGCCGTGGCTCCGGGTCCAGGAGCAGCATTGTCCTGTGAGGCCTGGGCGCTATTGGGACTGGCTGTTCTGTGTGATAGAAGCAAAGACAAAACTCCAAATGCAGCTGACCCCTGACCCCTCTCCTTTGTGTGTCCGAGGGAGTGTGCCTGCCTCTTTCCCTGGGCCTCTCATTAGAATTTCAGAGAAGCTTCCCTTGCTATGGAGATGCTAGTCTTGAGGCTTGACAGGTGGTTCTCTCTACATGCAAATCAGTGAATTGAGGTAATACATGTTCGGTGTCATAACAAAGTGCAACACTGCACTGTGGTCTCTCTTCCTGATGAATTTACAGAGCCTCAAGTACACAATTGAAAGTAAACAATTAGTAAACAATTCCTGGCCGGGTGTGATGGCTCACACCTGTGATCCCAGCACACTGGGAGGCCAAGGCAGGAGGATCACTTGAGGCCAGGAGTTCGAGACAAGCCTGGCCCAATATATTTTATACATTATATTGTATTGTATAAAAATACAATAATTTGTTGAGCGTGGTGGTGCACACCTGTAATCCCAGCTCCTCAGGAGGCTGAGGCACAAGAATCACTTGAACCCAGGAGATATGGGTTATAGTGAGCCAAGATTGCGCCACTGCACTCCAGCCTGGGCAACAGAGCAAGGCCCTGTCTCAAAAAAAAAAAAGGAAAAGAAAAAAGTCTGCTCCAAGCCTCATGAGCTATCTTGCCTTCCAAGCACCTGCAATGCTTGGGACCTGCTGGCCACCAATAAATGGTGCTCTTGGATGGTTGGGAAGAGAAGATAAGGATCTTTGCAGGGAAGCAGGGACCCTTTGATAATCAATGTCCAAAGCCTCAACAGACACACCAGCACCCCTTTCCAAATCATGACTTATCCTCAAAAAGCAAAAACGATACAACATTTCCTTCCACTGGGGTTGAGATAAAAACACAGAGGGTTCTTGTTCCCGGTGGGTAAACAGCTACCAACAGGCAGCCATGCCTGGATGCACAACCTCAGGGGTGGCCCCCTCCCCAGGAGTGAGCCCCCAACTCTCTGCAGCTCTGAGGTGTGCAGAGCTCACCCTGGGCCCAGCAGGGCTCTGCTTGTCTAGCTTTGGGGCTTGCAGGAAAAAAGCTCCTGAACCAGATCCAGGGATTAGCCTGGGATGTGGCAGGGTAGGCTTCTCTGGGGCTGGGGTTTCCCTTCCACTGAAAGCTCACAGAGAAAGGTCCCTGGGCTTACAGAGGCTGTGACAGTGAGGACTCACTGGTTGTGGGATCCAGGAAGAGCAGGGACACACTCTTCTTTTCTGACCTTCAGCCTTCCCTGGAGTTGTGTTCGATTTGGGTCACCTTAGAAAACTCTGGTGCTTCTAAGAAAACATCAGGACTAGTCTTGGCTCTGGCAGGAAGTTGTCCTTAGCTGTCACCAACACTGAATTTAGCGGTTTGACCTAAATACAGTAGTTCCTGGATAGACCTTCTTCCAAGCAGGTGCCCTAGACCATCTTTTGTCTTGGGCTTTATGTTGGACATTAGAGCGTTATCTTTGTGATGCCTTTGTAGGTTTCTATGGATACTGACAAGAAACTTCATTTGACCTAATGAGAAATCTTTCACTAATAACGGCAGGAGCTGCTTTTGACATATATGCTTTAAACATCATCCTTCTATTCTTTCCTTCCTTCCTTCTTTCCTTTCTTTCTTTTTCTCTCTTTCTCTTTTCTTTTTTTTCTTTCTTTCCCTTTTTTTTTTTTTTTTTTTTTTTTTGAGAAGAAGCCTCACTCTGTCACCCAGGCTGGAGTGCAGTGGTGAAATCTTGGCTGACTGCAACCTCCACCTCCCAGGTTCAAGCAATTCTCTTGCCTCAGGCTCCTGAGTAGCTGGAACTACAGGCATGCACCACCATGCCTGGCTAATTTTTGTGTTTTTAGTAGAGACAGCGTTTCACCATATTGGCCAGACTGGTCTCAAACTCCTGACCTCAAATGATCCACCCGCCTCAGCCTCCCAAAGTGCTGGGATTACAGGTGTGAGCCACCACACCTGACCCTATTCTTAACATTCATTCCAAGCATATCCATTTGTAGATAATTTTAAAGCTTGTGGCAATTAACGATGTGGGCTTTTACCCTATACAGTGACCCAGACCCTTTGGTTTGGGTAACTCCACATCAAAGCTCCCATCAGAGATAAGACGGCTGCCAGCCCCTGATCTCCAAGTGAGGGCAAGCCCTCTCTCTACAAAGAGTCACCTCCTTTGGGTGGGGTTGGGGTGAGCAAAGAGAGCCACCCACATTCTCATCACACACGTGACAAGACCAACATTACCTGGCGGTCTTGAGCCTTGTGGCAAACACATTTGCGTACGCCCCTTGAGATGGCCATCAAACTATGACATCCTACTTCCTACAATAGCCACATCAGCCCAGATGTCAGACTCCATCCAGGCCAGCGGCTGCCTTCTCCAGCCATTAGTTGTCCCTCTAGCTGTGTCTAGAGCTCCCTATTGTTTTGAACTGAGGCAGTTTTCCTGCCTCTAACTGAACATCCCCTGGCAGTTCCCATTTTTGTATTTTCTACCTGGGCATCTACTTAGGAGAAACTGAGTATCCCCCAGGCCCAATGCAGCCATTTTCCTGTCTCTGGAGAATCGGGAGGGAAGGCAGGGCTTCATGGGATGGGGCCATCTTGGCAGACAGCATTCACCAGAGAATGTGGGTTGACCTCCAGGCAGGGGAAGCAGGCAGGCTCTGCTGGGCTTAGTCAACTTAAATCTTCTCTTGGTCAGTGGCTCACGGGAGACAGTTTCCCCATTTCTCACATCTGTGCTTTCCATTTTTTTTTTTTTTTTTTTTGAGATGGAGTCTCATGATCTCAGCTCTGCAACCCCTGCCTCCCGGGATCAAGTGATTCTCCCGCCTCAGTCTCCCGAGTAGCTGGGACTACAGGCGTGTGCCACCACGCTGGCTAATTTTGTGTGTGTGTGTGTGTGTGTCTCTTTTTAGTAGAGACAAGGTTTCGCCATGTTGGCCAGGCTGGTCTTGAACTCATGATCTCAGGGGATCTACCCACCTCGCTCTCCCAAAGTACTGGGATTACAGGCGTGAGCCATCACACCTGGCTGTGCTTTCTCTTTTTAATTTTCTTTATTTTGAGACAGAATGTTGCTCTGTTGCCTAGTCTGGAGTGCAGTGGTACAAACATGGATGACTGCAGCCTCAACCTCCTGGACTTGTAATCCTTCCACCACCTCAGCCTCCTGAGCAGCTGGGACTATAGGCGCACACCACCATGGCTGGCTCATTTTAAAATATTTTTTGTAGAGATAGGGTCTCACCAAATTGTCCAGGTTTGTTTTGAACTCCTGGGATTGAGCAATCCTCCCGCCTCAGCCTCCTAAAGTGTTGGAATTACAGGCATGAATCACTGTGACTGACCCACTTTCCTTTTTTTAAATGTTAGTGGTTTCGTTCACAGATATATACATATGCAAAACCAACATAGCACAACATGCTCATCACACCCTGAACACTTGAGTCCAGGCTTGGGGGTCTGGAGAGGTGAAGGGAGGCCATGCCTGTACCACCCTCCCGCCCAGATCTGCCAACAGTATGTGCACTGAGCACCTAGAGACCATGTGGCTGCTCTTTGGTCGGTCTTCAGATCAGGAAGCTTTGGGATTTGGGACTTCCGATGTTAAGGTCTTACTCAGTAGCCATACCAGGTCCCAAGTGTGAGGAGTGGTGGCTCCTGAGGACCCATGCCAGAGTACCTGTTTGTGGCTGCTTTCGTGAATTACAAACCAAGGGCTAGAGCTGTAATTTATAAAATATCCTTTATTTATTCTAAGGAACAGTCAAGCAGTAGCTTAAAAAAAAAAAAAAAAAGAGACATTTTTTGAAAGATATTATTAGTGTTGTGACCTGGCATTGGGCCCCATGTGAGCAGGGCAGTGGCTGGGGCCACCTGCTGTGGCTTTGCGAGTTCTCTGAACTCACTGGCAGGGGTCTGGTGGGAAACTGTGAAGCTTTGGCACGGTTCTCTCCAGTTGTTCATAATCAAGAGAAATGAGTTTTGAGGTTTGCAAAGAGCAGAAGTAACATTTATACTGCTGGCATTTGATAAAAGATTGCTTATGATATATTCATTCCAGGAAGTGTAAAAATGCTTTAAAGGAATAATTTGTACTTACTGTTTATGGGGACTAGGTATATTAGAATTACAGCATCATCATGGGAACATGGTGTTTCCCTACAAATTCAGAAATTCTCTGGTTGATGTAAAAATCATACTTCCTGATTTTACTTAATTAGTAAAGAAATAAATAAATTAGAGTAACATTTAGTCAGGTAGAGTTACTCCTTTTCCCCCTTCTTTATTAAATTTTATTCTTAGCACAATGATTCACTCAAAACGAGAGTTTGGGAATGTTCAAGAATCTCTACCAATCGGTAACCATGCTGGCTGTTGTATCAGAAAAATCCATAAACACACACAGCATCGAGCTGTTTTCACAAGACTTCCTTGCTAATATACACAACACTTTCTCCTCCACTCAGATGGGAGCCTCAGATGCCAAAACACAGATGTGCCAACTATAGGCTCGTTGCTAAGCAGAGAAACCTATCAAGTTTGTCCAGCAAATTTGATTGTACAGGGGGATGGCGTCTGCTCTGTGGCCTCAGACAGGGATCAGCTGGTCTGTGCTGCTGTCCTCTGAGGCAGGTCGAAGCTGGTGGCCCTTAGGGGCAGGTAAAACGGTTCTCATGGGTTAGAACATAAGAGCTTTGAGGAAAAAAATGCAAAAAGCCTTATTAATATTGGAGGCCTATGTGAATCTGTTTACATAGAGGCATACTGAGATCTCATTCTGTGTTTAGGTGAACTGCAGGTCTCACGCTGGCTGTGTGACTTGGTCCTCCCCAGCTGGCCTGAGCCACCACCTACCATCTTCTCATAGCACTACGTGTGGCTCTAAAGAGGACATCAGCCCCAACCAAGGAACAATGAGAGAGACAATCCCAAACATTTAAGACAGGGCTCAAGAGCACCCAGATACCTTCTGTCTCTTTCCCAGTTCCCATCTGGCTAGGGGCTGTGAATCAGAATTCAGAATCTGTGCTGCCTGGAGGGGACAGGCACCCAAATGCAATAAATAACTCCGAGCTCAGGACCCAGCCACTGACCCTCCCCCACCACCACCTCGATGTGAACTGAAGGATCTGAGGGAGAGGACTCCGTTCCACCTGCAAACCTCCCTGTACAACACCGAATGCGGAAGTCCAGCTGCTGCTTCTGCACAGGACAGAGCCTCCAGTCTTTTCATTAGAGCATCATTTATGGCATGGACTAGGAACGCAGTGTGTTCACACAAATGCACGACAATTGTACATCAGCATCTTTACAATATTAAAGGAGCCATATACAAGCCTACAGCCATTGTACACAGGATGGTGATGGTTGGGAAGCCCCGCCCACTAGTCCTCTGCAGTTTCTCCACTGGAGAACACATGGGGAGCTGTCACAAGGCTGGGGGGAGGGGTCCATCTTTAGGCCTGTCGTAAGGGAGTCAGCAGGTCTGCAAGGACTCCTCTGGGCCAGTCCTCACTGGAATCTGGGGTCAAGAGCGCCAGGTCTGCCCGTGTCTGGGTCTCCTTGGCAGGCTAGCGTAACAAGTTTAATTAAAACTCTGTGCATATTTGAGTAAGAAATCTGGAGCTGGGGATGGCTCCCTGAGCTGGGGACCCAGAAGACGCTGCTGACAGATGGGCCCCTTCAGGGTGGGGCCCATTCCTGAGGTAAGGTGCAGCCCTGAGGCTGGTCGGAACGGGAGGAGGCTTCTCCAGCAGCCCAGGTGCCAGTCCACACAGACAGGACTGGAAGCTCTTCAGGCAGCAGGAGGTCACGTGACCTAGGGGTAGAGCCTGAGCCCCAGACGGCAGCAAAGGTGAGGGTCTCAGATGGTTAGAGAGCCACTCAGCCCCCAGGCCCCTACCACTTTCCTCCCAGCAGCCCTGCAGCACACATCCCTGCATCTGTCCCAAGAGACCCAGCCCTGCAGGCATCTGGGCCTGAATGCCAGGCAGCTCGTCTACCCTGCGGCCGTGATGCGCGTCCGACTGAGAACTGAGCACCAGATAAAGAAGCGTTGGTCCTTGTCGGCCTCTCTGACTTTTGCAGTTATGGTTGCTTCCATTTTAAATACTGTAGAAAAATAAGCCATCTCAGACGCTAGAAGACCCACCACCAGAGTGTGCCCCATGTGGAGAAGGATAAACAGCTCCTCTGGAGTAGCTGCAGATGCCTCTTCCAACCCTGCCCCTGCAGGCCCTGGGTCCTCAGAGGATGCTGCACCAGGATCGGGAGCCAAGGGGCTGGGATAACTGGCAGCAGAGTTCCCACTGCTGCATCTTTGGGTCACATCAACAATCCTTTGGCAGGCATGCCTCCAGCATCCGACATTCTGTTGCCATGACACCTGGGGCCCTGGTGCTCCCTGTGCCAGCTTCGGACCCTTCAGCCTCACCCTCGGTCTCATGCCCACAGCCAAGCACGCACAGGCAGAACTCCCCAGCACTGTTTCCAGGTCCCTGGGGGGGCCCAGGTGGGCACTGAAGCAGGGCCTAGTCCAGGGGTTCCTGCTTGATCCGAACAGCAGTGGGGGTGGGCTGTGGTCGCCGCTCCTCCCGGCAAAGCACGTACTCACTGAACTGGGAGGAGTCCACGCCGCCCCCACAGGATGCAGCCACGCTGAAACCCCTCTGGAACAGCCGCTCCAGGACCTGCCCAGGAAGAAACAGAGGTCATGAAGGCCCAGCTGCAAGAGGATACCAGGTTTGGCCTGGCAGGCAGCCAGAGCACCTTCTGATGTGACCATCTCAGTCTCACTCACTGACAAAGGTCCCTACAGAACCAGGTGCTGGGTTCCACCACCAGAGGGATGGGAGTGGCCAGGCCCAGTGACCCCTCAGGTTACCAAACCCAGGTGAGCGACCCTATCCAGGCCACCATCCTGCTGCCCTCAGGGCCTTGATTCAGGGAGGCAAAAAGAGCCCTTGGGTCCCTTCTTTCTTCTCTAGGGTATAACCTGTGCCCTCTCTCCAGACACAAGGCCCCAAGCGTCCTCCCCGAGTCCTGCCCCAATAATGGAGAGTTCCCTGTCCCCCAGCCTCTCGGCATCCACCGGCTTCCCTGAGCTGTGCATTCCAGGTGGTTTAAGGCCTGGGGCAAATCAGCTCATGTGAGCTCTGGAGGGAGAGAAAAAGGAGAGGTCCTCTCAATATTTGAGTCTCTGCAGGCCTACACAACTATGTGGGCTTGTGCCTCTGTGAGGGTGGGGTCTGATTACTGTCTCCTGCAACTAGCAAGTTCTGACCAACAGGCTGTGGAATGTGTGCATGGGGGGGGGACCTCTTCCCTGCAAAGCCCATTCTGCCCAACCCAGAAATGTGCCAGGCTCTTGGGTCTGTGAAGCGCTGTTAGAAAATAGACCCTGTCTCCATCTGAGCTCTCCAATTCTCAGACCCATCCAGGAAGAGCCCGTTCAGGCATTCTCTTGGCAGCTGGTGGGTGCTGGCAGCTCTCAGGTCAGCAGGGAGAGAGGGAAGGGGCTCCTGGCCACCTCTCCACTCAGCCTCTGTCCTGCCTTGCCTGTTGCCTGGGTTTAATTTGAATCCAGAGTCAGACTCTGGGTGTCAAATGAAGCACGCTTTGTTGAAAATACTCTGGGCCATTTTTATAGTACATCCTTTTGGAAAAAAAAAAAAAAAAACAGTACAGATCGATTTTTTTAAGTCCATCCCCCAGGCGTCATCATTTAATTATGAGAGGGACATAAATTATGCATCAACACATTGTTGCCTTTTTTGCAGGATGGAACAGAGGGCTTCACCATTTCAGGGATCGCGCCTCCCTCCAGCTTGCTCTGCCCCTGGAGGGCTCCGCGGAGGCCGGGGGGCGGCGGCGCGCAGCCCTCACCTGTACCGAGTTGAGCCGGCAGTAGCCGTTGAGCGGGAAGCGGATGACGTGCGTGGGGTCCTGGTTCCAGCCGGCGTTGACGGAGTTGCACATGACGTCTCCGGTCTCGGGGAAGACCTCCTCGATGAGGGCCTTCTCGCCGCTGAGCGCGATCCGCTCGCCCAGATCAGGCGTGACGCGCACCACCAGGCAGTCACAGGCTCGGCTGCGGCGCCGCTGCTCCTGCTCCTGCTGCCAGCGCTCCAGCTCGCGCACCATGGGCTGCAGCTGATAGTAGCGCGCCTCCTCGTATAGCAGGCTGAAGTCCTGGGGACGTGCGCACACAGTGTTGCTGTACGTGTTGGCTCAGGGGTTGGGGAAGTCGGGGAGGGGGGAGGCGGCCTGCCAGTTTCAACCAATTCTGCAGGAACCGCCACCCCCAGGGTATCAGGTGGACTGGGCCGGTTGCACCCATTGTACAGATGGGGCCACTGAGTGTCTGCAAGTATAAAGAATCTAGCCTTATCCCAAGGGCAGCTGCTGATGTACATCTGTGCCAATACCCCTGAGCCCCTTCCATCTGGCCCCAGGCGCTAGGCAGAGAAGCCTCCCCATGGAAAGACCCGGAAGCTCCACTAGAGGATGAGGCTGTGCCCATGCCTGGGGACCTGCTGCTGTCTTAGAATCCCACCAAGAGAAGACATCTTGCTGGGCACCGGGCAGCCGGCCTGTACCCACCCAGAAGCAAAAAAAGTTCATCTTTAGCCAGGCCTGCCTGGGTTGGATTTTCAGCTTCATCATCAACCAGCCCTGAGACCTTTAAACCTCACTTACTGAGCATCTCAGTTCCTTTTTTTTTTTTTTTTAAGATGGAGTCTCACTCTGTTGCCCAGGCTAGAGTGCAGTGACTTGATCTCGGCTCACAGTAACCTCCACCTCGGGAGTAGCTGGGATTACAGGCCCCTGCCACCACATCTGGCTAATTTTTGTATTTTTAGTACAGATGAGGTTTTGCCATGTTGGCCAGGCTGGTCTCGAACCCCTGGCTTCATGTGATCCACCCGCCTCAGCCTCCCAAAGGGCTGGGATTACAGGTGTGAGCCACTGTGCCTGACCTCAGCTCCCTTATGTATAGAATGGATATTAACACCCAGTTCTGAGAATGAAAGTGAGTCAAAGGACGCAAGATGTGCCAAATGCCTAGCCCAACCCCTGCCCAAGCAGGCAGTGTCCAGGGAAGGGAAGCCCACCCTCTGCCAGGCAGCCCCCTTCTGGGCTGGGCAGGCTCACACAGACTGTCCCTTAGGCGCTGACAGTGGCCCCATGCCCTGGGCCACATACGTACACCATACACGCTCACTCGTATCCATCCCACCAGGAATGGCCAAGGTCCCATAGGTCCCATGACTCATGCCTGATGAAGAGGCAAGAAGCCCAACCCCCTGTCCTATAGGCCCTAAGTCCCTTCCACCTGCTGGCCCTGGCTTTTGGAACCACCTGGAGGGAGGCCTAGATTCTAACCTTGACCTCTGGGCCTGTCATCAGTCAGGCCTCTCCTGCCTAGCACAAGGGTTCCTCAGAGCTCTATCCTGGGCCTCTGCTCTCTCCACTCACACTTGCTCCTGAGATTTTTTAATTTTATTTTTTTAGACAGGGTCTCATTCTGTAGCCCAGGCAGGAGTGCAGTGATGTGATTATAGCTCACTGCAGCCTTGAACTCCCAGGCTCAAGGGATTTTCCTGCCTCAGCCCCCCGAGTAGCTGGGACTATTGGCATGAGCCATCATGCCAGGATCATTTTTATGATTTTTTTTTTTTTTTTTTTTTTTTTTTTGTAGACACAGGGTCTCCCAGTCTCTATGTTGCCCAGGGTGGTCTGAAATTCCTGGGAACAAGTGATCTTCCTGCCTTTGCCTCCTAAAGCACTGGGGTTACAGGTGTAAGCTACTACTCCTGGCCATTCTCCTGAGATTTTAAATGACAACTGCATGCCAGACAACCTCAGCTTTTCTCATGGCCCAGGATTTCTCCATCCGATGCCCCACCAGCTCTCCCATGCAGGGGCAGAAACCATACTCCAACAGCCTGGTACACCCCAAGCCTCCACTCACCCACTCAGAATTCAAGCCCCAAGGCACCTGCAAGAGGCCCCTTACACTGCCAGTGCTCACCCATGTGCTTTTGCAGCCTCACATTTATTTGTTGCTTTAATTTTTATTTATTTATTTTTTTGAGACAAAATCTCGCTCTGTCACTCAGGCTGGAGTACAGTGGTGCGATCTCGGCTTACTGCAACCTCCACCTCATGGGTTCAAGCAATTGGACTACAGGTGCTAATTTTTGTATTTTTAGTAGAGACGGGGTTTCACCATATTGATCAGGTTGATCTTGAACTCCTGACTTCAGGTGATCCACCTGCCTCGGCCTCCCAAAGTGCTGGGATTACAGATGTGAGCCACTGCACCCGGCCTTTTCTTAACTAAAAAAAAATTTTTTTTGTGTGTGTAGATACAATCTTGCTGTTGCCCAGATTGGTCTTGAACTCCAGGCTTCAAAAGATCCTCTCTGCTTGGCCTCCCGAAGTGCTGGGATGAACAGAGTGAGCCACTGTGCCTGTCCTAAACGGAAGTCCACTTTGCTCCATCTTCTCTATCTCCATCCTGGTCCAAAGCCTCCACCCAGCCTCCCTTGGCCTGGGGAAGGGGCCTCATCCACTGTACTCACCCCCGCCCCGCCCTGCCTCCTTTTGCACACAACAGCTGAAGAGACCTTCCCAATTTGCAGATCTGACTGTCCTTCCCCTGCACATACCCCTTCCACTGCATTCAGAATTAAATGCCAGGCACTGGGCTGCCCGCCAAGGTCCTGACATCAAACAGCAGCTTCCCTTCCTGCCCTTCCCCTCCTAGTCCATAAGGCTCCAGGCTTGACACCTTCTTTCCAGTTCTGGAATGCATCAAGCCATCTGCCGCCCCACACCCTGCACCAAGGCCCTCACACCTGTGTTTGCCCCTGTTCTGCCTTCACCACCCAGATGAACATTGTTTCTTCCAAACCCACCTGGCCCAGGTCACATGGAATTCAAGTTCAACATCTGTCTACCCACTAGACTCTAAGTTTCTGGGAGCAATTCCTAGTGTGTGTTTCACTGTGTTTTCAGCCTCAATTCAGTGGCTGGCACCCAGTAACTGAGTTGGATGAAACACAAGGCCCCAGGGCTACTGGTCCTCTGGATAGAGGAAGGAATGAAGGAAGGACAGACATTTGCTAGTATTAATACATACCACAGTACCCAGGCCCGAGTTTCCTTCCTCCTAGGGTCCCTGACACCTCGGAGGGGCTAAGAATGAGGCAGGACCCACAGAACCACGTCACTTGCCCGGACAGGCTCACCCTGTGACCTGGGGGTTACCTTTTGTTTAAATCGTATAAAGGGTATCTGTTTGGGTCATCAGGGCGTTTCTACCTGCAAATTGCCCAACACGGAACAGAATTTTTTTTGAGAGAGAGAGTCTCGCTCTGTCATCCAGGCTGGAGCGCAGTGGTCTGATCTCAGCTTACTGCAACCTCTGTCTCCACCTCCCGGTTCAAGAGAATCTTCTGCCTCAGCCTCCCAAATAGCTGGGATTACAGACGCCGGTCACCACACCCGGCTAATTTTTGTATTTTTAGTAGAGATGGAGTTTCACCAAGTTGGCCAGGCTGATCTCACACTCCTGACCTCAAGTGATCCACCTACCTTGGCCTCCCAAAGAGTGCTGGGATCACAGGCTTGAGCCACTGCGCCCAACCAGTGGAACAGATTTATGAACCTCTAACTACTATAATGCTGGCGCGTGCCCACCCTTAAATATGACAAACGTTCAGCAGGGGTACGTTGTGCAGCTTAACTGTTTTTATATACCCTGATAAATAAGCTAAAAATGTGAGAAAACAAAGTTTAGAAAAACTGATTTAGCCCTCGGCTTCATTGTTTAACTTTTTATGGTTGCCATGACAACCAGGGGTCCATTTATTAAGTCACAGCATCCCCTGAGTAATGCCATCCCACAGGCAGCACAGGGGGTGGTGGGGGTGGGTGGGGCGTCAGCCTCGGACTTACCTTGAAGTCATCCGGGAGCAGCAGCTTGGACGTCCGCAGGAAGCTCAGGACATAGCGGAAAATCTCCCCATCCCGGTCGATGAAGTAATGTTGCTTCAAACTGTCCAGGACGATGGGTTCGGTGCCATTGAAGAGGCGGCTTATTCTGGGAGAGATGAGCGAGGTGGGATGTCTGAAGGATGGGGTAAGTCGGCCTGTCTCCCCATGCCTCGCCCCCACTCCTTAGGGCGCACGCAGCGGGAGGGGCAAGGGACCTGACCTGGGCGACTCTGGAGCTGTTTCAGGCCTGACAACATCTTCACACACCCGGGGCGGCCAGGCTACAGTTATCAGGCCACCTCACACATCGTGCCTACACTCACAAGTCACAGCCAGAGAAGGACACACCCAGCTGTACACACGAGCCCGCCGACACATGTTATGTTACAGGCCTGGAAAGCTATAGTGAGACACAAATACCTTACCCCCTACACACAAACCAGCTGGTCACAGGCCTGGTGCACACACCCTTGCCAGACAGTCCCACCCAGAAAATGCACATGAACCACCCAACACCCTCGCCAACAGCCACACACCCAGTAAACCAGCCAGGATGGTCCATGAGGATACACATCCTCCCCACCCAACCCATGTAAACCAGTGTGAGATACAACACGCCTGTGCAACAGGCACAGGGCCACGCAGTCCCTTCCTTCCACCCACACACATACCCCGCAGATCCAGACACATCCAGGAAAGGACACACACCTGTCAATACCAGGCGCCCACAGACATGATGGCACAAACCCCTGACTGCTGCTCACTCAGCCCATGGGAGGAAACAGAGGCAGGCAGGAGGGATGGCAAGTGTGCCACAGTACACACATGCAACACGGCCCTTGCATACACACAACACAGGCATAGACACATGCCAGTGTGTACACACACAGAAGCCATGCACACTTATGCAGCACAGCACATGCATGTATGCACACATGCCAGAGCGTATGCACATCACCCTTGGGGGTGGTGGAGTGGGATTGGAGAGAAGGCAGAAGCTGGTACTCTGTCCTCTGAAGGGCAGTGGTTCTAACAAATGCAGGACCAGGAAAAGGGTCTTGGGGAGCCCCTGATGCCTGTTCCTGTCCACTCCGGGGAGAAGGAGCCAGGCCTCAGAGCCATGACTGATCCCACCTCCCCAGTGCCCAGGGCAGCTGCCTCTAGTTTGGCAACTGCCCTGGCAGAGCCCAGGTCAAGCTACAGATAACTAGAACCCCAAAGAAGGGTGGGGGTAGCCAAGGGCTTGGCTTGGGAATAGGAGGGAGGTTGGCATCGTTTCCCCAAAGGCAGCACCACCAGACATCCTTCAGCAGGTGGGGCAACACTCCTGCCCAGCTGGACCCCGCCAAGGTGGCAGCTTCTCTGCACAGCTGGGAGAACAGTAGCTCCAACCTGGGACATAGGCCTCCCAGCTTGGCCTGCACACAAGCTGGTGCCTAAGCCCCTCACTCTCTGCCTGCACCAGCAGGGACGCCCCTGTCCTCACAGCAGCCCACTCCTCTGTCCACTCCAAGTCAGCCACCTCCAGGGCCCTGCCCCACTGCCACCTGCACCCGCAACACACTAGCTGGGCAGGAGCTGAGGGGGTTAGAGCCCCCAAGTCTGCCCTCAGGGCCTCCCGTCCACACCATCCTGTGCTCTGATGGCCTGGCACACTCAAGGCATCCGCCATGATGGTCTGCTCTGGTATGGAGTTTCTGCGAACATGGTGCAGGTCTCTGTCCTGGCACAGGGCACTATAAAGGGCAAGGCTTAGCTGGGCACCGTGGCTCACAGCTGTAATCCCGGCACAAGGTAGAGGATCACTTGAGACAAGGGGTTCGAGACCAGCCGAGGCAAGACAGTAAGACCCCATCTCTACAAAAAATTTAAAAATTAGTTGGGTGTGGTGGCATGCACTGGTAGTCCAAGCTACTTGGGAGGCTGAGGTGGGAGGATCACTTGAGTCCAGGAGTTTGAAGTTGCAATGAGCTGAGATCACACCATTGTACTCCAGCCAGGCCAAGAAAACCTAATGCTGTCACAAGAAAGGAAAGAATGAAAAAGGAAAAAAGAAACAGAAAGAAAGAAAGAGGGAGGGAGGGAGGGAAGGAGGGAGGGAGGAAGGAAGGAAAGAAAAGAAAAGAAAAAAGAAAGAAAGAGGCAAGGCTGCCTCGTGGATGGGCGTGGGGAGGTCAGAGCCTGCGGAACCAGAGCTGCAGCCACCCAGATATACCTCATCTCAGAGTTCGAAAGACTGATGAGCCCGTCACCCTCCTAGGCCTGGTGACAGTGGCATTGCAGGTCACAGCCCCTGCTGGAAAGGCTTGTGGGTTCCACAGCTGGCTCCAGTTCCAAAAGCCTTAGGACCTGGCCTAGCAGAGTGTGGGCATCCAGATGTCAGTGAGGGCCACCCAGCATTCCTGGAGACACATACGTCTGGCCGAGGCTGCCAGACACCATAGGCAGTGGTTGGCAGGTGGCTGAGCATCTACATGTGGCACCAGTGGGAAGTAAGAGCCACATCCACAGGTGAGTCAGCAAATCCAAACCGTCAGCTTCCCTGGGAACTCTCCTCACCCTTCCTGGTGGAGCTCCAAAGTCCATGCAAGCAGACAGCGTTCTAGGCCTGGCTGAGTTCCCAACCATTCTGACGTCAGGTCTGGCTGAGGCTCTAGCTGGTCCTGTTGGTCTAGAAGACTCCTGATGTACCCACAATTCCAGGGCTGGATGGGTTCTAGGTTGTCTTATTGGTGCAAGCTTAGAAGGTTCTCCATCTGCCTTATTTCAGGACTGGCTGATTCTAGATCTTTCCATCATTCAGTATCGGCTCATGGATCAACTGGCAGCTGCACAGCCTCTCCCAAGACAGAGGCCTTTCATGCCCTCAGCGTCGGAGGCTGCCAAGGACATGAGCATGTTGAAGAAAGATGAGGATAATCCCCACGGAGGAGCCCTCAGTCATCCTCAGGGCTGCAAGTGTGAGTTCCCAGCTCCATCAGTGGCTCCACATACTCCCTGTGGAATACGGCCCATGCCACCCTCTGCGAGAGGTTGCAGGGTTTGAGGGACCAGTTTCCAAAGTCCTCCATGGAATTAGGTGGCCAGTTCACGCTGCAGCAGCTAGGACCCTCAGAGGCAGAAAAGATGCATTTGACCACCTGCCCTGTGTGCACAATGGTGGAGTATCAGGACGGCCTTCATCTTATTTCCTTTTTTTAAAAAAAGCTGTGGCTTCAATTTCCTGGCTATTTCAGGGACCAGGTTTTATGAGTTTTGAAGCTCCTGGCCATCTTCATTAGATGCTTCCCACAGTTGGGGTGGATATCAGAGTGTGGCTGTGATGGCGGCAGCTAAGGGAGGTCAAGTAGGCAGGACACCAGCAAGGGAGCTGGCCCAGGGAGTCCACTCTCAGCCCTGTCTGCACTCGGCTGTCTCAGGTGAGGACCGGTGACTGCTCCTGGGCAGACCAGAGGAGGCACCCAGCACGAGGCTCTTTAGCTGTCTCTCTCACCCAGGCTACCCCGGCCGCTGAGACCCAGAAGCCCAGGCAGAGTTCCCGGGGGGAGCCAAGGGTGGAGGTCCCGAGCTTTTACAGTGCTGCCTCAGGCAGGTCATCACCACCATCCAGAAAGCCCCTGAGGACCTTAGCACTTAATCCTCCATCTCTAGGTGTCTTACAGATCAGTGACACTGGGTGAGATGGATTTTTTCCAGAATTGGTGGAAAACAGTGCTTCCATTTTAATAATCCACTACAGGAAGGACAGGAGAAATCTGAGGGGCTCTTGCCAGCACAGCTGCCCGGCCTACTTCTCAGGCCCCTCCTCCCCGACTCCCTGTCCTGATTATCCTACAGGTCACACCATCCCTGGCCTCTAGTCCAAAGCTTCAGGCCTGCAGAGCACCCCCATGGCAGCCAGAGGCCATCCAGGCAGAACAACAGATCCATCTCGAGCCCCAGCCCTGGGGGAGAACCAACGTAGACTGCCACCCCTTGGGCACATCAGGAGGGTTCCGTGGGCCAGATCACAGGGCCACAGGGGCCTTAGCTCTCCATGAGAGCACAGCCTACACTGCAGAACAGAGCGATGGGTGAGCAGGGCCTGGTGGGGGGAGATGGCCCTCTGCCTTCCGGCTTCCAGGTAGCAGCCAGGAGCCGAGAACCAGGAGGGCCTCCCACCCACCTCCCCCAGGGCCTGGGCTGTGATTACTCCAAATCAGAAAGTCTGATTTCAGGAAACACTCTTCAGAGAGGGTTGTGGGCTGAGGTTTTATGAATTTCACTGACAAACGTCGGCAACCGATTAAGGGATGATCTATCTCAAACAACTCCGGAATGCAGCAGAAGGCAAAATTGAAATTAAATAAGCAGAATCCATCTCCCATCCTAGACAGGGCTTTGCGAGTGAGCACACAGACCCGAACTGCTGACCTGGCCCCATGGCTCTATCCCCACCCCATGAGCCCCAAGGCCACAGGGCCCCAGGCTGAGTCTCTGTCTACTTCGGGGACTGAAATGCCAGTCATCATCTGTACCCTAGACTCACCAAATTTGGAGCCAGACACTGCATGCATTTCCAGTTTTTCCTACTCGAGGGAGCATGCCTGCCCCTGCAAGCGCTCCATGGTAGCCCCAACAGGCTCGGAAAGCCACCTCCATGCACCACCATTCTCCCTGCTCTAAGCAACCAAACCGGTGACAAGGCAGCCTGACACGTACGCTCCCCAGAGACGATCCCTCAGTGTCTGGGGGATTAATTAGCTCCTCCTGTTATTTTAAATGCATAACACAGGGGTGATGCCCACAGCCTTGGCCCTCCCACGCTCAGCCTTCGGCAGCCCCAGGGGAGCGATGGACGCCTCTCTGTGCCAGGAGCAAACATCCTCAGCTGAACAAGCTGCTCAGAGACCCAGCCCACCTCAGGCCAGCCCTGCTGCCGTGCCAAGGAGGAAGGCAGGTCCCTCACCCAGGAGAGAAACGCCCTGCAGGGAAGAGCAGGAGAGTAGGCAGCATCCAGCACCCCGCACCTCTCGCAGGCCCAACGGCCTGGGCAGTCTGTAAGTTCAGCAGCATGGGGGGTACCCTGCAAACCCCCAGCCAGGGTCCTGGCCAGAGACGCTTTATCCACTGATGGGGGTATGTGGCTCATTCCTAGCTAGTCACTGCAATACCAGCTCCAAGGGAAGCCAGCGGCTAGTCTCAAAGGCCCAGCAGTGGCCACTGAAAATGACAAAGATGGCACACTGCAGCTCACCACAGCTCCTCCTCCCTCCCCTTGTGAATTTCTCAGCGGTGGAATAGGAAATAGGACTAACACCCACCCCCGTAACCCCAAGACTTACCTACTTAGTATCACTCACAAATGACCCCCTGCAGAGGCCAGGCCTAAGTCTCACTCTAGAGGAACCCTGAAGGTATGAGACTCCCTAGACTGCTACTGGCAGGGTGAGGCGGGGCTGGCTCTGAATAAGCCTGAGGTCCCCGCAGGTGGGTCAGGAGCACCATCGTGCACTACCAATGCCACCAAGTCAGGTCACAAGCCTCTGTGCATAGCAGCTTTCAACAGGCAGACTCAGACTCCCCAACCCTAGCTCCCTTGGTCTGTGTCAGCTTGAGCACTCTGGAGAGCCTGGTGGATGGAGTGACAGGGGGGGCACATCCCCCAGGCAGCAGGTTTCAGATGCTGCCCTGAGCCCCCGCCACATACCTCGTGTTTCAAGCAGCTAACTCTTACCTGGAGTCGGGGTACTTGGTGAGCGTAGCCAGGCTGCTGGTGTACATGTGGCCACCCACGTCAATGTGCACAGGTGCATTGGACTTGGTGAGCTGGGCTGGCAGGGGGATGCCCTGTGCAGCCAGAGGAGACACAGGCGACCGGGTGAGAGACAGCCGGGACATGTTTCCTCCCTCCTAGAGATGGAAACAAAGTGGAACACAAGAGTTACTCCACGACATGGCCACGCACTCCCTTTATGGCGAGTGTGATCACAGATCTAATCAGATCACTTCCGCCGCTGCCTGATCACATATTCAGCTGACAAATTATGGCCACCACTGTAATTAAATGTATTTGCATCATTTTCTTCAAAGTACCACAGGGAAAAAAAGAAAGATGCTTATTAGCAATAAGAAATCAAGAAAAAAAAATTTTCAAGGTGTCAGCCTCCAGGGGCATAAAACAAACTGCAAAATTCTAATTAAAGGTCGAGGGCTTATGTGTTAGATGTGAAATATCCCCTGACAAACGAATCACCAATTTGTGAATTGGGATTCAGGGGTTTTTTGCAACTTTGTCTCAGTAACGAGACACCTCTAAATTAGTGACTTCCTCAGTACCTAAGGCGTTGAGTTTTATACATGTAGTAAATTTCACATCAAATTAAGAGCGTTTTGTTTCAAAAATACATAATCCTACAGCCAGTCAACAGCCACCTTGAATGTGGTGGCCCTAAAGAAGGACAGTCAGTGAATAGGTGCTGGGGAAGAAGGGAAAGGGGACCCCCAGCGGGGACCCAGCCCACCCTGCAGGCTCACCGCGGTGCCGGCGCTGCCGTGTGTGTGAAGCGAGGACCCGCTCGGCCGCTCCTTGCGGTGAGGCATCTAGGCTTCCATCTCTGCCCAGAGTATCTGTGGGAGGGATTGACAGAACCAGAGAAGGCTTATTCCTCGGAGTCATCTCCCGAGGAGTCAAAGACGCTTAGAATTGTCCTTTCTGCATGCTGTCTGAGACCCGGTGAGGTCCATGCAGCCCTCCCTAATTGATTCCACCGCCACTATCTCTCTATCCTGTCTCCACACCCCAAAGCAGGCCTCCAGGCCCTAGCAGAGGACACATAAACACACATGCACACACACGTCGCACTGTCACATGTGTTTTCTGGGCAGCTCCATGTCTGCTAATTCAGCTAATGATAGCACTGAAACATATGCTCACCATTATTGCCTCAAAATGTTTCAGAACAAATCGGATTTTCCTGGTATTTTGGTTTCAAGCCGTGTTACCAAGCGTGTCTCCTCTTGCAATGGCCTTGTGGACCATGGCTCAGGAAGCACCCCTCGCCCTCCGTGGGCTGCGAAACCTAGGACCTCTCTTACTACCATCCCCACGGTGATAAGATACAACTTGCATCTCGCCAGACACAAGAAGCCTTTCAGCAGAAGTCCAGGCACACGGATGACAGCAAGTCACTTGGGAAGCCACCTCTCCTCTGTGGCTCCCAATAGCAGTGAAAACCTGTCTTTGTTTGCCTAGTCTGCACCTCACAGTTTCTCCCCAGACTCCCAGAGTGGCGTTGTCTATGTCTAATGCATTCCAGGCCCCTCAGGATCACACACCCCCCAAGGCATCAGGAGCTGGCCAGAAGGAAGCAGAGAGCAAGCAGATCAGCCAGTGGACTCTCTACTGCTTCCCCCGGGGGCACTCAGTGACTTTCCTCTGTGCCATAGCCACCTGAAATAAGATTGTCCCTCTGTCCCTGGAGGCCACGGGGTGGGGGGGGTGGGGGGGGCACTTTGCTGGCTCTATGCAGGAGGGGCAGAATTCTACAGCTCCTTTCATTGAACTTACAGCTGTCTCCAAGTGGAGGTAGGAGATTTGCAGTGAATAGTCACCCCCCTTCACACACATCCACAGACACTTGCTTCCACAAACCTATCCTGGACATCTCTTGCAGGTTTCACCTTTAAGAGGGCAACCACATGAAATTCTTGGGACCCATGAGACTGCTTCTTCTCATGAAAACTCTGAGATCGCAATTTGTGCCTTGAAATTCAACATCCAATTTTAATCAAATGAAAATCGAATCCTGCAAATGTAAGTAAGGTTGCTCTCCTGTGACTTGTTCTGCCCTGAGTGCTGGGGCAAGTTTCCTGACATAAAACTAGGGTGCAAGACTGCAATGAGCAGACAGTGAGGTTTAATGTATACCCTCACTGGGGCTCAGGGTCCACTGCTTTTGGGATTTCTCAGTTCCAAAAAGCTTAAACCAAACCAAACCAAACCAGGTCACTTAGCTCAAGGAAGTTCTGAGAACCAAAACAGACCTCAGGAAGGGATGATCCTGCCCTAGGAAGCTCTGCTGGGGGAGGAGTCAGAAGGGAAGACGCCTTGAGGATAAATTGAACAGGAAGGAATTCCTGCTGCAATTCTATCAAAGCAGACTGCAAGAGGTTTTCCTCCAGTACCAGGACACTCTTCGAGAGTGACATGAACACTAATCCCCCATCGCAGAAGCTGCTCCACCCTGTTCTTGGCCCCTTTTTTCTCCCAAGCACAACCTGATGTTCATGGTAAACCAGAAACTTACCGTTGGAAGCCCCAGGCTTTACGCCTTTCTCTGAATCTCCAAGGTTTTCCCCAACAAGCGCATCCGTGCGGGACCACAACCCTCTTCCGGAGACCACTGCTTAAGTTAGAAGCACAGAAGTGGGTGCAGTGAGAGATACAAGTTCATTCCACCAACACCAGCCTCAAAACCCACCACCCAGCCTCAGTACGCCCCGGCCCGCCTGTTGCAAGGGCCTCAGCGCTAGCGGACAGGAGGGCCCACGGGTTTCCGAACTGGTCCGGTAGTGACCCGCTTCTCCAGCTGCGGCGGGAGACCCGAGCCCCGCCCACCCGAGCAGAGAGAAGTGAGCAGAATGCCACGCTCATTTACACACAAAATGATTTTGTGTCCCATTGCGCTCGCAGTTGTTCGGCTCTCTGGGGGTGATTAAACTGGCTGAGCTGCGGCAGCTTGAGACGATTTCACTAAATCGCTTCTTCGTGAAGTCGCTTCTTTGCTAAGCTGTTATTTTAACCATAAAAGGTAAACAGAAGGCGCCACTCGCGCTCCCTTCGGCTCCACACTCAGGGCGCTGGCCAGGGGCGAAAGTCCCGGGGGCCGGCAGAATCTTCCCCAGGGGTGGCCCCAGAGGCAGGCGAGCCACCTGGTGCGTGCCAGCCCTAAGCCGCGGAGCCAACCGGCCGGTGTGAAGTTAGGGGCGACGGGAGCCGGCTGGGCCCAGACTGGAGGCGCCGCGGGGCGGGGTGGCCGCGGCGCCCGAAGCGCCCGAGCCCGGCTGGGTGGGGAGGGGTGTGCGGCGGAGGTGGGGCGGGGACAAAGTTAAATCAAGAGGCAGACACTTGGAGACCACAGATGGGAAGCTCGCCTAATTAAGGACGTAAAAGCGCTTTTGTTCTCAAAGTTTATTGTTGCTGGGATTAAAAAAAAATAATTGAAACTAATGCTGTTTTTCACTCGGGCAGTTAAATTCCTTCATGCACATTTGAGATACCGAGCGAAAACTTGAAGCTTATCTTTCTGCAGTCGGGGGTGGGGGCCGCCGGAAGACCGAAAGGCGCTGCAGCGGCGGGGGTCCACCCGGGGTGTGTTTGCGGGAGTGTGCCCGGTGCGCACGTCCAGGTCATGGGGTGAGGGCGAGCAGCGGGGAACCGGATCTGCAGGCGGCGATCCAGTCTCATCGCGGCCCACTTCCAGCCCCAAACCCTGCGCGCCCTGGACCACCACCAGAGCGACAGCCTTCTGCCAGGTTTTGGACTCGTGGGGTGGGCGTCAGAGGTAGCACATCTGTCCCGCTGGAGACTTTCTCTGATTTTGGGCGCCAAGCCGGGCCTTGTGCATCCCGAAGCCCCACTTGCGTGAGCCCGTTTCTGACCTCGGAAACTCGCCAGTCCTGCAGGGTGTTCGGCCCAGTACAGGGGCCAGAGTGCGGGAACCGGCACACTCGCGCGCACACGCACACACACACACACACGCGCGCGAATATACACACACCGCGCGGCAGGAAGCTCCTAGCCGGCCCGCGTGGGGTGGGTCCACCCGCGGCCAGGACCAGCCCACGTGTGCAGCCCCCTTCTCGCACCAGGCCTTTGTGCTGGGCGCCCCAGCGCCGCCAGCCCCCGCCGTCCAGCAGAGGGACAAAGCGGCCGCCCCCGCCTAGGTCCGGACCCTCGCCAGGCGACTTTCTCGGTATCCCAGCCACTTCGGGGACAGGGGTGCGCGGCGCTGAGCGGTGGCCGCCCGCGCAGGGCTTACCTCGGAGCCGGAGCGGCGGATCGGGCTCGGGCGCAGCCCCCGCCCCCCGCAGCCGCCGGTCTTGGGCGCCGGGCGCAGCTTCGCCGCCTTTGCTCGCTGCGCGGGTCGCTCCGGTCTCGTCCTGGAGTTACTTTCTCTCTCGCCCCCAACCCTCCCCCCACCCACCCCTCCCGCCCCGGCCCCCGCTTCGCGCGGCCCCTCGCGGCGCGGCGCGCCGGGGCCTCCCCTCCCCACCCTCCCCTCGCCTCCTCCCCTCCTCGCGGCCGCCGCCGCCGCCGCTGCCGCCTCCTCCTCCTCTTCGCGCCGCTCTCCGGCTGCCCTCCTGCCGCTCCCACCTCCTCTCCTCCCTCCTCTCTCTCCGGCGGCCTCCCTCGATTGCCGGAGAGAAAACCAGCCCCACACTCCAGCCCCCAGCCGGCGCCTCGCTGCGGCCCAGCCGGGACGCAAAGGGCAGCGATCCGGCCTCGAATTACCCAGCGCGAGCGGGCGCGCGCTGCGACTCCTGGCTTGGGGCTCGGCTGCGCCGCGGGGCAGAGGATTAGAGTCGCAATTAGCTCCGCGCGCCCGCGCCTGCCGCGCTCGGCGACAAAAACGCGCCGTTTCCCCCCCTTTTGCCGGCGATCCCCACCCGCCTCTCCCGGAGCCCGCGCCTTCCCGCCGGGGCCGCGGCCAGGACCCTCCCGGGAGCGGTGCACCCAAACCCCAGCGCCCTCCGCGGCCCAGCCCCCCGCCCCCCGCCGGCCGGCCACGCGGCGCCCGGGCCTCCTCCGGGCTCGGGGAGGGGGCGGGGTAGAGGCTGATTTTAATCATTGTCATTTCATCTGATGTAATATTTCCCCGGGCGTTTTCAGCTGGGCATAAATTTTCGGTTCCCAAATAAGTAACACAGGGCACGTTTCTCACATTTCTTGACTCCTCGGTTACAAAGAGGAGAGCAGCCGCCGCCGCGGCGCCCGGGGCTGGGGGCGGGACTTGGGAAGAAACTGGGCTGCGAGTCGGCCGGGGCTGGAGCGGAGCCGGGGGCCAGGCCGCCCCTCCCCCCGCTCCCCGGCCGCCCTCCCGGGGTCCCTGCCCCGCTGCCCCTCTTCTGTGACGTCTGCGGACACGCGGTCGGCCACCGCGGGGGAGGGACGCGCGGGGGCACCGGGCCGACCGCTCGCGGCCAGACGCGCCATTTCCTTTACGCGCGCGGCGCGATGGAGACGGTGGCGGCCAAGACTCCCGGCGGCCGAGGTCCGCGCCCTGAGCGCCCCTCCCCGTTCTCCGCTTTGGCTGCCCGGTCCTCCTCCTCTCCCACTCCCTTTCCTCCTCCCCTTCCTCTTCCTCCTCTTTCATTTGCGCCCCGCCCGTGCCGCCGCCGCCTCCCCCTCCGCGACCATTTCCCCGCTCGTAGGAAACGGAGCGGGCGCCCGGCCGGCACTGCGCCCCCGGCCTGGCTCCCGGGACGCCGGGGCCAGAGCTCGGCCGGGGCCGCGGGGTGGGTGCGCTCGGGCTGGGAACCGCTCCTGGGCCCCGACCCGGAGCTCCGGCCTGGCCTGAGCGCCCCCTAGCGGCCGCACTCTGGGGTTGGGGGACGCTCGGGTCGGCCTGGAGCCAGGGTACGAGGGATTGGGGGTGCCAGTAGGGGGAGGGTGAAGTGGGAGGCCTTTCTCCCTCAACTAGAGGACCTCGCGCGCGTGGAGAGAGAGTCCAGACCGCGCTTCCGTAACTTCTCCACGAGGGAATTAGCCGAAACTTTCCTCCTAAGGGAAGGTTTTATTTATTTATTTATTTTCGAGCTCGAACTACAGGAGAAAGGGGGAAATTTTCTCATTAAAGTTACATCCCTGCAGTTAGTTCAATTACTTGATATATGCAGAAGATGTTGTAAATTTATAGATTTAAATAGCTTACAAAGATGCCGCAGGCCCTATCAGTTAATTTCCTTAATTTATGGATTTTCAGCTGCTCCTGGAACAGAAAAGTCCCGGAAGTAGGTCAGGGATCTGTGCAGGGGTGGGGTGGGGGGCTCCCGCGAGGCCCAAGGGCTGCCCACTCTGCTCCCTATGCCCCGGTACCTACAGGCTCCCAGCTCCCAGCTTCGGTTCAACAGTGCTCTTTCTGCGCGCTCCGCACCCTGGCCAGGCCAGGCCAGGCCAGGCCCGAGAGGTCGTCCCGGCTCTGTGGTCGACTACCCCAAGCATGGAACAGCAAAGCCCTCCATCAACGCACATCCCACTCAGCATTGAGGGACCAGACCCAAATAGAAAGTGAAGCAAGTATTCAAGTACTTTGATCTCCCGAGTCCACCCTTAAATGCTGGCTAGAATTACAGTCGAAGGAGATTGTGGGTGTGGGTGCTCCCAACTTCATGGACAGAAATGACCTCCCCTCCAGGCCTTTGAGAAGGATGGAATGAGGGAAAACGCCCGCGGGCTTCTGTTGGAGGATCAGGAACCCACTGAAAATCCCCTTGTCATGGCCCCTGTGGCCCCAGCACCCCTCATACCCCTTTTGTCCCTCATCCTAGGTGGCTGCGGGAACGCCTTTGTTTTGTGTTCAATATGGGTGAATATATACATATAAATTAATACTTGAAAGATTGGTAGAAACGAAACCGTTTTAGGAAGCCACATGGCAATGTGATTAGTATTGGTATTCATGATTTAACATTTCTTTTCCCACCAGATGAAGTTTCTAAGATTTGCAAGGTACATGTCAAGGACGTGTGTATAAATGGATTTTTATTTATTCACAACTCGAAGACTAATTGCTTCTCTTTGCCTCAAGGCCATGAGATTGGTTTTAATATGACACTTCAAAAGTATTCATGGAACTACAGAGATACTAAGTGTCATTGTTTAAGAGACAAATCTCACCATGGTACTGATGACCCTGAAAATAGGATGTTCTACTTTATTTTAAATTCCTACATGTTTTTTTAAGAGTCTCACTTTATACCAATTATAATAAAAAATGTACAAGTTAGTCGAAACGAGAACTGGCCATTTTGAACGACTTTTATTTCGTTTATACTGCCGGGGACTTTGTTTCTGGATTTCTAATCCTTTTATTTAAGAGTTGAACTTTATATGTGTCATTAAGAACAGTAAGTTTGGGTCATAATTTATTCTCAAATGTTTTAAAAGTTCCTAGCTGAATGTCAACCATATCTTCCATTGGGAGACTTGGTTATGGACAGTGATAGGCATTTGATGGTCTGTGGTATATAATACAATGGTGATGTATTTTTTAATTGAAAGATGTAGAATGTGGACTGATACCATGTTGAAACATCTCGTGGAATACATCCTGTTTCATTACTGTGGTTCAAGAGATGACGTTGGATATGAGTCCAATCAGAACTTGCTCTATCATTAAGAGCTGGCACTTAGGCCATTACAGTTCATAGTTTAAAAAGCAGATTCAGGCCAGGCGCGGTTGCGCTTGCCTGTAATCCCAGCACTTTGGGAGGCTGAGGCGAGTGGATCACCTGAGATCAGGAGTTAGAGATTAGCCTGACCAACATGGAGAAACTCCGTCTCTACTAAAAATATAAAATTAGCTGGGTGTGGTGGCGCATGCCTGTAATCCCAGCTACTCAGGAGGCTGAGGCAGGACAATCGCTTGAACACGGGAGGCAGAGGTTTCGGTGAGCCGAGATTGAGCCATTACACTCCAGCCTTGACGACAAGAGCAAAACTCCATCTCAATAAATAAATAAATAAATAGCAGATTCAAACCTGTGCTCTCACACAGCAGGGTATTTGCAGGATGTAAAACCAATGGCAAGACCTCAGGTTTCCAGATGTTTCAGGGTGGCTTCCAGTGCAATGTCGTACTTTGTTGCTGTTACTGTTTGCAGGCTGTGTTTAAAAATTAGGATCTTAATAAGGAAGGGGAAATGAACCCAAAATGAGATCACAGACTCTACTGAACTCAACCTTCTCAGCGAGGTTATAATTAGACAAGCAGATGAGCAGACTGAGAGACCTGCCTGCTGCTATCTCGGGGAGGGAGGACTCAGGTGTTAGCGCAGAGTTGTCTGTTCCCCACCCCCAGGCTTCCTGGGGACAGGTCAGACCCTCTTAGATGTATGCTCATCTCAAGCTCAGAGATGGCTCCTGTACAAGCTAGGAATAAACCAGCCTGGACCAGACCTCACAGTTTCACATCCACCTGGCCTCCATCTGTACCCTGGGAATCCCCCCAATCTTCCCTCCTGGTTAGGATCCCAGAGAATCTGGAGACTAAAGGGAGTGATGAAACATGGGACTGTTAGTTCCCTCACCTGTCCCCCACACCCAAATTGCCCCTGCCCAGTCCCTGGCACCATGCTCAGTGGGCACTCAGAGCTCCTAGTGGGCAGGAAGGCAGGGGCTGCCTTTCTATGTACCTTCTGCCAAAAGCCCAGGTGTGCCATTCAGAACCAAACCAGCCCTGCCAGCTCCAGGAGCCAGCACTGGGGTGAAAACGAGACAAGCCCAAGACCTCCTGACCATGAATTTTAACATTTTTGCAGGCTGTACAGGAGCCAGCAGCCCCCTAAATTGCTCAAAACTGCATTTGAGCCTTTTCCATCAAATTCTCAAACGCTATGTGGATTTGGGCGCAAGTAGCAAAGGTTGCCACAAATAGCACCTGATTCACAGAATGCGCCTAGAGGTGAATCAGTGGATTGGAATACTATTCAAGGACCAGGTCTCCCTAGCTTACCTCTGCCATCCTCAGCACCTTGGCCTGTTTTCATGCCAGCGCTTCTCTGGTCTCAAGATGAACAGAGCTCAAAGCTTCACACCTGCCTGGACACCCACGGAGAACAAGGGAATTATCTTAGTGGCTCCCACAGCCCTCCTTGTCACATCCTATTGGTCAAAACTGGGTCATATGCCAAGTTGCAAGCCAATGGGGCTGCTGCCCTGATCCCCTGGGAGGGAAGTGGGTACTGGGCAAAGTCAGGCGTTCCCTGGGGCAGGGAGGAGAGGATGGATGTCGTGTTGGGGGCTGGGCCCCCAAATGTTTAAGCACAGAACCCTGAGGTGGCCTGACATTGGGTAGAGTTCAAGAGCTTTCCCAGGGACCCATAACCCTTCTTGTGCAATAGCGCTGAAAAGATTCTGGAACAGATTAGGCTGTTACAGTCAAGGGGTGCCAGGGAGGTCCTCTGGGTGGGGG